AGGGAAATAGAACCAAATTTTCAGGGCATCAAGTCTTCCCTTCTTTCTGAAAGACCCCCCTCCAAGTTTAAATGGAATTAGACAAATGTCCAATTTTATGGACCCAGAACAAGGTGTCCTCAGCCATCCTGTTCTACAAACACTTCAGACCCCCTATAGGAAATGAGGATGGCTAGGGGTACCTTGTTCAGGGGTACCTTGTTTGTCCAATCCGATTCAAACTTTGGGATCTTTAGGGGAGAGGGGCCTTGGTTCCCTGCAGTTTGGTTGCTTTTCTTAAAACATCTGCTCCAGACCTCTGGAAAGATCCCATTCCCCTTATAAGAAACTAAGAATAAGGCCCGTTGTGGAAATAAATACAACAAGTTCTAGAAAGAGGCTCTGGGCGGGTGCCCTGTCCTTGGGCACTCAACGTCAATTTGCTGTGACAACCTCAGCAGGGTATAATGACACAAAGCTTACCATTTTCTCCAGGGGAACTGATCTCTGCCATCTGGAGAGCAGTTTTAATTCTGAGTGCTCTCCAGCCCTCACCTGGAGAATGGCAGCAATAGTTCCTCAGGAGGAAATGGCTGGTTTGGAGGGTGGAGTCTATGGCATTGCACCTGTCTGAGGTCCCACTCCTCCTCAAACCCCACCCTCTCCACCCCTTAAAATCTCCAGGAATTTCCCAACCCGGAGGTGACAACCCTATTTCCTTCCCAGCCAACCATCAACATACCGTTATCTGCCCCTCTGACTTCAGGTTTCCATCTCTTCCCCCCTCCCAGTAGCCTCTACCTTGGAAAAAGTACAGTCTTTCTCCACAGTGACCAAAGCAGCTTACATCATTCTCCTCTCCCCCTTTTGATTAGCACAACAACCCTGTGAAGTAGGTTACGCTGAAAGTCTGTGAGTGGTCAGAAATCACCCAATCAGCTTCCACAGGAAGAACCTGGGTCTGGAAGACTGCTCTGAAGCACTGCGACGTCACACTGGTTGTCTTGGGGCGGTGGGTCACCTCAGCAGAGTATAATTACAGAGCCCACCATTTTCTCCAGGGGAACTGATTGCTGCCATCTGGAGAGCAGTTGTAATTCTGAGTGATCTCCAGCCCTCACCTGGAGATTGGCAACAATAGTCCCCCAGGAGGAAATGGCTGGTTTGGAAGGTGGAGTCTATGGCATTGTACCTGTCTGTCCCACCCCTCTACAAACCCCACCCTCTCCAGGCTCCACCCCTCAAATCTCCAGGAATTCCCCAACCTAGAGTTGGCAGCCCTATCTCCTTCCCATCCAACCATCAACCTACCATTATCTGCCCCTGATTACCATCTGGAGAGCAGTTTTAATTCTGAGTGATCTCCAGCCCTCACCTGGAGACTAGCAGCAATGGTTCCCCAGGAGGAAAAGTACAGTCTTTCTCTGCAGACCAAAGCAGCTTACATCATTCTCCTCTCCCCCTTTGATCTGCACAACAACTCTGTAAGGTCGGTTAGGCTGAAAGTCTGTGACTGGTCCAAAATCACCCACTCAACTTCTGCAGCAAGAGCCTGGGTCTAGCAGACCCTGCTCTGAAGCGCTAACTGCTACGCCTAGGGTAGCCAACCTCCAGGTGGAGCCTGAAGATTGCCAGGTATCACAACCGAACTCCAGACAACAGATCCCCCCCCCCCGAGAAAATAACTGCTTTGGAGGGTGAGCTCTGTGGCCTTTTATTCAGTTGAGGCCTCTCTCTTCCCCAAACTCTGGCTTCCTTAGACTCCACCACAGAGTATCTAGGGATTTCCCAACCTGGAGCTGCCAATCCTAATCAGACCTGGCCCCAATGAGTTCCCCACAAAGGCCTGGAAAGGGCTTCCTTCCTTCGCCTTTTTACTGACAGAACCAAGCATGGTTGCCTAGCAACAGCCACAGAGGGAAAAATTAGTCCCACAGGAGCCAAGAAGAAGTGTCTTCATCAGGAGAGGCAGCTGTTTTGATAGTTTATTCTGTGAGGGAAGAGTGTCCAGGCTGGCAGTGGGCAGGGGAGAGGAATGGACCCAGGATCCAGCCAATGGCACGCGAGTACTCTTGAGTGGCAGTTGATGGGCCAATGGCTGATGGCGCGCACTGCACGGCCAATGGGAGAGCTGGAAATGGCCAATGCATAAGGGAATTATATAGAGAGAATGATAGACCAGGATGGCTGGGGGGGGGGTACTTTGTTCAAGGGTCTGTTCAATCAAGCCCTTTTGAACTTGTGGGTCTTTAGGGAATATAGCCTTGGTTCTCTAAAACTTTAGTGCCATTTGTTCTAAAAACATCTCCAGATCTCAGGAAAGATCTCCTATTCCACCTTTTTTGGGGGGGGGGGGAGATTTTTTTCCCTCCCATAATTCCAGAGCATTCCATTTTTTGTTTTGCAACTATGCAAAATGGCCCCAAAAGGCATTTTGAGTATATTTTTGGCTTGGGAAGTTCTGTACACACCTCTCTAATCACCACAGGGAGGGTCTCATTGTGATGAACCATGACCTAATGAACGGGCGGGGGGGGGGGGGGGGGGGAGAACATCTAGTACAATATAGGGAAAGGGAATTTGGTTCAGGTTTCTTGGCCCATACTAGATAAACAGGGACCATGAGCCAATCTTTTCTAAGGGGCCCTGAGACCCATGAATTTTTTTTTCTTTTACTGACTGGGAGCCAACATCAACAACTCTCACATGCTGAGAGGGGGGAGGAAATGGTTCTTACTTTCTTGTTTCTTCACTCCCACTAAAGAGTGAAGTAGAAGAAACTGGAACAAGCATTCTGCAAGAGCCTGTGTTGCCTTCCTAAGTGCCTGTCAGCAAACATGGAACACCATGTACTTTTCAGTCCTGCTTACTTCAGTAGAAGAGAGCGAAGGAACTCGCTTCAGTCTCTCCCTCTGAAATCAATGGCTCATAAAAAGCACTTTGAGCCAGGCAGCACAAACAGCCGTGCCAGAAGAGATGGCATCGCCAGCTGAGCATACCCCATAACCACAACTGCCTTTCACAGCAGGCTTTACTGCAGAAAGCTCACTTTAGCATTTGAAAACAAGGAGGGGGGGCTGGGCTTTCTATAATCAAGGCTACTGTGTTCACCCTACACTAACAATCATTCAAATTATGCAGCTAAAGGAGGAAAGGTATGTGATTTTAAGGTGGGTTTATGCCAGCAGCTGCTGTGTGCATTTGGTGGGGGGCGGCGGCAATTTAAGACATGGGTGGCCCTGCATGAAATACACTTTTTGCTACTCAGTTGGCAATCTTACTTACACAGGCTAAAGAGTATGGTAGCCTGGCTTGCTAAAAGAAGCTTATGTGGGACTTAAAACCAGACTCCATGAGTCCTAGGGGGCTGTGTACAGTGTGCGTGGGGCGACCTGCCCCATAAAGTCTGAGTGGTTGGACCCACCCACCCCATCCCAGGTTCAATTGCTTCTGGTGCTTCTGGTTCTTGATGGCAGAGAGCCCAGCTGCTGCAGTGGGCTGAATGTCTGATTAAGATGAGAGAGACCCTAGTTCCAGGGCTATTTTTGGGCTGGGACACACAGGAACGGAGTTCCGGCTGGCTCCCAAGTTGGCCACGCCCAGCAGGAACTCATTAGCATAATAGGCCACACCCAACAGCAGAAACTCATTAGGATTGGCTACATTAGGGGTGTGTGGCCTAACATGCAAAGGGGTTCCTGCTACAAAAAAGCCCTGGGTTTTGACAACAAACAAGGTAAACAGAATAAGGAGCAAAAGGTGGGTGTGGCTGGATGAGCACACTTCTGGTAACGTGGGGGTGTAGCCCAATATGCCAATAGGCTGTGCTGTCAGGGGTGTGGCCTAATATGCTAATGAGTTTCTGCTGTTGGGTGTGGCCTATTATGCTAATGAGTTCCTGCTGGGCTTTTTCTACCAAAAAAAGCCCTGCCTAGTTCAAATGTTGGCTGTACCTTGAAGCTCACTCCACTGACTTTCTCTTGGCTTAACATAGCCTCAGAGGGCGGGTGGGAAGAGAAGAACAGAGCAGGGGCCTGTACATATGCTGCCCTGCACTCCGGGGGAGAACGTTGAGAAGCATCAAACCTTTCTTCTTCAAAGACAATGGGCCTCTCTTTCTACAATGAAAGCATGTAGGTCAGGGATCCCTAACGTGGCCCCCACCAAGTGTTTCGAGAAAGTGGGTGGGGGTTTTGGCCCAGCAAGAGCCAGTTTACTGTAGTGGTTAGGAGCGCGGACTGTAATCTGGGAGAACCAGGTTTGATTCCCCACCCCTCCACAGGCAGCTTGGGTCAGTCGCAAGTTCTCTCAGAGCTGTTCTCTCAAGGGCAGTTCTCAAGAGAGCTCTCTCAGCCCCACCTACCTCACAGGCAGTGTTCCCTCTAAGCTGAGTTAGTGTGGAGCTAGCTCACAGTTTTTCAACCTCTGGCTCACAGTTTTGTCTCAGCTCAGGAAGGAGGGCCCCAGAGCAAACTGATTTATGCAGTAGCCAAATCGCTCCCTCACAACTTTCATGCCAGGAGCTCACAAGGTAGAATTTTTGCTCACAAGATTCCACAGCTTAGAGGGAACATTGCTCATAGGGTGTCTGTCTTGGGGAGGGGAAGGGAAAGGGGATTGTAAGCCATTCTAAGACTCCTTCAGGTAGTGAAGGGTGAGGTATAAATCCAATCTCTTCTCTGAGATTTGATTGGCTGTGCGGATTTTTAGAAACTTTGCTTTGGCAGCAGCTGCCACTAGACCACAAAGAGCTTCACTGTGTGACTGAAAGTAAGCTGCTGCCGCCATTTTGTGACTGGCTCCACCTCCCATGACGGCCCTTCTGTGCTGCACCCACCAGGTTGGAGGCCCCTGCTGTAGGTGGCTGAAGTCCTAATTAAGGCCAGGCACCAAAAACGTACCTCATAGCGGGCCCACTGATCCTAAGCAGGGACGTTGAGCATCTGCATTACCTCCTTTTCTCATTGAATCAATGGCCCTCCAAACCCCTTAATAAATCAACTGGACTGTAAAAGAACCTACACAGTGTTATAAACAGCAAGATGCAGACCTACTCTAAGACCATTCAAACCACTGGGCAGAGACCACAGTCAGTCTGCAAGGGATTGTAACTGTAAGCTTTTCTCTTCACAAAGGTCACTTCTACCAGGGCAAGGTTCCCATGGATTTCCCCCTCCCGCTGCAGACCTCCTGTGTTGCACCAAACACTGTTCCCAAGGACCCAACAACCCCCAGAAGATGTATTTCAGGTGCAATGCAGGAATGGGGAGGCAGACAGGAAAGTTCCGTTCTGTGAGTGTAAGCCCCACTCGCAGAGCTTAGGAGCCAGCCCTTTATTTTAGGAACTGAACAGTCATTTAAATATACATCTACAAAATGCAGAGTGTCAACCACCGCCCCCTTGAGGATTCTGCTGCAGCTGTATCTGAAATTAGCCCAGCTGCGGTCTTGAGAGGCAGGAAAGCCATGTACACAGCCACTCATAGAAGATGCACAGCTTCCTTTGCGGAAAATACAAAGTCCCTTCCCTCATCCTCTTAACATGAATAGGCTAGCCGGCTGAACCAGTCACAAGGTTTCCCAGCTTGGAGGCTCAAGGGACGGGATCCTGCCTAACATTTCCAGGGACAGAAGGGATGCTATTTTCTCCTGTGGACCTCCAGCATCCGCCTCATGTCACTCTTGAAGGGTCGGTCCCTCATACCTCAGCTGCAGCATTTTCAGGGGATATTTCAGGATGCAGTAGGAGAATGAGACAAGAAGATCCTGCTCTTCTGGTGGAAGCCCTTCCATCTGGTAATTACTGGTGGGATCAAGCCAACGGGTAAAACACTAAAACTGTTTGTAAGCTTCCCCACTACCAAGATGGCTCTGTTCTTCTCTAGAGCTCCTAAAGAACCAAAAGCATAATAACAGGGAGAGGAACACTCTCTAGATGAATAGCATTCCCACAGGACCCTATATTTTGAAGGAACTTGTGAACAACCTACCACGGAAAAGGGTTAAGGCTACTTTAGGCAGTCTTCCTATGAAGATCTCCATTCTGCTGATCAGAATTCCCAGCCCTGCCCCCCAGCATAAGAGCTGTCCCATTGCAAAAATTTGTTTCTCTTGGGCTCACTCTAAAGATATTCTCAATTAACTGCTCTTTGTTATGCTTTACTGGCAAAGATCATAAAACCAGCACTCAGGAGGGTCAGTTCGAGAATTCTTCCCCATCCAAATAAGGATAGCAATTCCTTCTGTGGCAAGAGGAAAGTGGGGAACAGTCTGGAGTTATTTTACTCCAGAGACAAAGGGTAAAGCAGATACAGATTTTCTTGGTTTCCCGAAGTCAAGACACTCAACGGGGTCTCCTTCAGAAGCAACACCAACCAAGAACCCAGTAATAGTCTAGAATAAACTCTTGTGTTGAGGAGGTCAAGAGAAGAGTCAAGAAGAACTTGGTCCAACATGGAAAAGACATTGGACCCACATAACCAGGCAGATGAAGTGCTATATGCTTGTGCAGCACTACCTCTTTTTCCTTCCATGAAACTATGGCACCATCGTGAGCAGCCCTATGGCACTTCAATGGAAGAAGCCAGCTTGCTAGAGTCACTGAAGGACTACTGGCTTCCCCACACTGCTCTTTTTTAGGGCTATGTCTTCTGGAGTTGTTGGTGTGGGCTCAGGCCCAGAAGCAGTCGTGGAATTTGCACCACAGTCGACGTAATGATGTGTCTCCAAAGAACTCTGAGTTACGTGGCCGAAGTAGGAGATCTTCACAGAAGTCCTGAAGGGTGGAAGGAAGGAGGGAAAGGGTCAAGAGAAAAAAGGGAGCCTAGATAGCCCAGGCAGGCCCGATCTTGGAAGCTAAGCAGAGCCAACCCTGATTAAGTATTTGGATGGGAGACCTCCAAAGAATACCAGGGCTGGGAGGCAGAGGCAGGCTACCAAGCCACTTCTCTGAATGTCCTCCACACCCCAGTAGGAGTCGCCAGAGGTCACCATGACTTCCAGGCACAAGCACATGCACAAATGCAAAAATACAAAAAAGAGAGACACAAAAGGGAGGTAGGGGGCTGAACTCTCAGTCCTCAAGCTAAATTCAGTCCATTTTCAACTTTAATCTCTGCCCGGTCGATGAAGCTTCTATATCACACCCATTTCCCCATGCTGGAAAGACTGTCACGTCACGCATATTGAGTGGTCAATCATATCTTTCTATAAAAGCCTCACCGTTTAAGAGATCGGATGAACACTTTGGAAGCAAAAGGAAATTCCTTATAGGGAAGCTTTCTTTGAAAAGATAAAAGACACACGTGTCCTACTTCAACAAATGCCTCGGCAGAAGAATGGAGGCATTATTTAAATAGACTCTCAATGGGAGGAGGTGTGGCATCACCCAAAATTAAGTTTGGTGCAAGGCTATCATTTCAACCATTTAAGTGTTAAAGGACTCAAATTCAACCATGCAGGAGGCTGATCTGAGCGGCGGAGACAGCCAGATCCTTGTCCCCATTGCAACATTGAGCTTTGCAGTAGCGGCAGGCAATGAAAATGAGGCAGCTGCCCGAGGCCCAAAAAGCCTGCCCGTGGAAACACCACAAGCAGCCAACACTTCCTGGAGTGGTGGGGTCAAGGCCTGGGGACAGCACTCCAGTGAATTCAGGCAATGGGATTCCCCAGCCCTGCGAGAAGGAGCCTGGAATGATGCCAAAGAGTCATCATTATCAATACCAGCATAGATATTTTCTATCTATGCTGGTTCCTTAAAACCTGCTACCTCTTTTAAATATATGCTTTTATAATAAAGAACCACAAAAAGAATGCAGGGCTTCACATCCTCTTCCTTATTCTGCAGGAGAACAGCCCTATTAATGGATTTCTCCCCTTTTTCTGGTAGGCTAAAGGCTGGCCACTGAGATAACTGGATTGCTTGGTGGCTTCCTAGACCCTGGTTTGTCTAGCCTCCCTGCAAGGGAGATCTGTGGCAACTTACCCATGCATTGGCAGTTGGTAGTTTGGATATTAAGTAAAGATAAAGGTTTCCCTTGCTCGAAAGCTAATCGAATCCAACTCTAGGGGGGCGGTGCTCATCTCCGTTTCAAAGCCAAAGAGCCAGCGCTGTCCGAAGACATTTCCGTGCTCATGTGGCCGGCGTGACTAAACACCAAGGTGCATGGAACGCTGTTACATTTCCACCGAAGTGGTACCTTATTTATCTATTTGCAATTTCTTGCTTTCAAACTGCTAGGCTGGCAAAACCTGGGGCCAAAGACGGGTGCTCACTCCATCATGCGGCACTCGGGTCACTGAGCCACTGCAGCCCCTATATTTTAGATATACACACACATACTAGGAAGCAGGGCACTGCATCATCTAGCAAAAGGAGAAGGAGGAGGAGAGTTGGATTTATACCCCGCCCTTCACTCTGAGTCTCAGAGCGGCTTACAAACTCCTTTCCCTTCCCCACAACAGACACCCTGTGACGTAGGTGGGGCTGAGAGAACTCCGAGAGAACTGCTCTTTTAAGGACAGCTAAGACAGAGCTATGGCTTGCCCAAGGTCATCCAGCAGGTGCAAGTGGAGGAGTGGGGAATCAAACCCGGTTCTCCCAGATTAGAGTCTGCGCACTTAACCACTACATTTTGACCTCCCCGGCCTCTGCATGCTAGGGGCTGGGGAGGCCAGAATGCCTTTTTTTGCTGGATGATGCAGTGCCCTACTTCCCAGAGTGTGTGTGGGGTAAAATATGAAACCATTACTCTACAAAGGAATGCTACATCAATAGACTCTGCTCAGGGCTGTGCACATGAGTGCCGATTCCACAGAAGTACAAAACCAGTTTCTGAACTCAACTTTTTAAACTGCAACAAAGCCAGGTTGCTAGCCCTTGTGAAAGTATGCTTGAACGTGTGTGAGCTTTCAGAAGCTAGAAGGGTAGCTGAATAAAACTTGCAGTGTTGGTAGAGAGCGGTTTCTCCTCTACCACTGCCCATTCCATGACTGGCAAAGCCAGAAGCCATGCAGCCAATTTAAGATCTGCGTGAACTACACTTAGTTCAGTTTTTCCATGGTGCAGAATTTGGATTGCCTGGGAACAGTTTTTTTAAATCAAAGCCATGGAATATTGTCCCTGTCAATACCTACAAAACCTGATAGCCCCTCAGTGGCCACAAGGCTTTCTTATCCCCACCCCTTCATACTAGACCACCAGTCAGTGTCTAGGTGGAGACTCCAATTGGCATTGAAATACATTGTCCTCCAGTCTGTTTAAGGCACAGCTATACATACAAGATGCAACGAACATGAAGTTGAGCAAACTTCAGAGGACGGCGGAAGACCGGAAGGCCTGGCGTGATCTGGTCCATGGGGTCGCGAAGAGTCGGACTCGACTGTGCGACTGAACAACAACAAAATACATACAAGATACCCACCTCATGAAAATCACAATGTTGTGCACTCTGATTCTGGATAACGTGCAAAAGAAACTAGAAGACACCAAGGCAGAGAGAGAAATGGTCAAGAAACGTTAAATCATTTTTGGTAGTCAACGTGTGAAAGGTTAGACAATCAATGGAATCCCACCAAGTGGCCGTCTTGTAAAATATGGCACCATAGTGCACCTTTTCCTTTGTTTTTCAGAGCACAGTGGCTTCCAAGCTTTTCAATAAGGAAATCTAGCAACAAAAAATTGTTGTTGTGTGCTGAACCATCAATGCCAATTCCCACAAATGCGAACAGGCAGGACTCACCATTATTAGACAAATAGTCCCAGAATATGGGCGGCTGGTTGTGATTGCTGTGCCACACAGGGAAATCGTCCAGCTCCGTAAAGGCCTGTCCAACTTGGACCATGCTAAACTGAACTCATCCATGTATTGCAGCCTCTCAAGTGGCTCAGCAGTCTCCATTTTGGGGGTCACAGGCTGGCAGTCAAAAGGCAAGAAGAATATGGTGCCCTCATGAACCTCTGTAGGTGGCTGATAAAACTATGTTTGGCGCAGGGGGTCATCAGCTCAGTGAGTCTGCTGCTCTGTACTGAACCAAGAATAAAATACTACGGGAAAGTTTAGGTCCTGGATCAGCCCTTGCCACGGAAAAGGCCAGTGTCCCTCAAAACCAGCAGAGACTCTGGAAAATAAATGCCCTGAGCAGGCCCAAGTGTTCTCCTCTGCTTTTCTTCCCTCCCCTTAAGCCCACACTAGTCTTCTCAAGTGTCAGGGGTGTAAGGGAGGGAACAAAAGGAGAGGAGAGAAGTGACAAGAATTAAAACAGCAGAAGGGCCAAAGAGGGACATTGGATCAACGTCCAAATATTAGTTGGCATGGGGGGGGGGGGGGCAAAGCTGGTCCATTTCAGAAGCAGGGTTTTTTTAAAAAAACAAAAAAACACACGTGTTGCAAATTTGTGCCAGGGCCATAAAAATTAGGCTCTGGCACTGCAATCAAAAGATTTTTGTTTTTATTCTGCTTTGTAAAGACACTGTTGCAGGCCAGGCCTCTCTGCAAGAAGGTTATGGAGCGGAGGTACGAATGACATGTATTCTTTTTGCAGTCTTGGGAGAAAAGGCAGTAGGGTGTAGCCCAGTGACGTCTCCTCAGAACTCAGAAGCTAAGCAGGGTCAGTACTTGGATGAGAGACCACCAAGAAAGACTCTGCAGAGGAAGGTAATGGCACAGGGGCCCTCTTGCTTCCCATTTGCTTTCAAAAGCCCGTGCCGAGGCCACTGTAAGTTGGTTGCCACTTGCCACACATTTGCCATCATATGTCAAGAGGCCCTAGCTGCAGTTCTGCAGTTGACTTGAAGGTGAAACTCTACCTAAGGTAAATGATGCCTGTCTAGCAGGGGGGGAAGAGGGCAGCTTTCTTGGGTGAAGGTTGCAGAGCTCAGCTCTAATTCATGGAAACTTAAGCATCAATGATTCCTTACTATGCATAAAAAGAAGGTCCGCCCATTTTGGACTTCACGGTGAAATTCACCTGGGGGAAGGAAAAAATTGCAGACAAGGTGTAAGCATACTTCTGGCAAACTGTATTACTTCCCCACCAGTGTTCCCTCTAAGCTGAGTTAGTGTGAGCTAGCTCACAGTTTTTTAGCCTCCAGCTCACACATTTTTGCTTAGCTCAGGAAGGAGGGCTCCAGAGCAAACTAATTTATGCAGCAGCCAAATTGTTTGCTCACAGCTTTAATGCCAGTAGCTCACAAAGTAGAATTTTTTCTCACAAGACTCTGCAGCTTAGAGGGAACATTGGTCCCCACCTCCCACCCCAGCAAGACCCCAGCTCCAAGTAGTAAGAGATGGCTGTACCAGCTTGTCACTCAGTGGCTGGATCGTGGTCACGTTGTTCATCTGGTGTGTCCCAACCACAGAATTCATGTATTGCACCTGACTGGTCAAGCTGGTTACTGCCACGGAGTAAAAATTGGAGTTCCTGATTCGGAGGGTCGCCTGTTAAAAAAAGAAAAACAGCCACAGGAACTGAGTTTCTACAGCTAACGAGAGGAGGTAGAATTCAGTATACGAATAACTGCGAGTTACCGTGATGGTGAGGATAACGAGGGAATTCTTGCGGTCAAACCACACCCGAACCACTTTGATGCCACTGTCCTCCACAACGACCGAATGTGGAAAGAGGAAGAAGACCACCAGCCCGGAAGCCAGGAGGCAGAGCAGCACTGACACCAAGACGTAGAATTTCCTGCAACAGACCAGATTAGTAGTTCAAGCAGTTTCCACTGTGATGACCTCCTGCTAACAGTCATGGTCTAACCAGACCCAACCTACCCTAGGGCTGCCTGACCCCCTGCTATGGTGGGCCTCCACCAGCCCCTCATTGCCCACCACCACTCCGAGCAGCAACAGAAGAAAAATTAAAAAGTTGGTGGCTCTTCGCAGTGACGTCACTTCCAGGGAAAATGCAGAAGTAACATTGGTAGCCCCAAGAATCACCATAGAATTTCTGGAAATTCCTATAGCTACCCAATGTCACTTCCAGATTTTCCCAGGAAGTGACGTCATGGCATAGACAAAACCCCCACAAGTTGTGAGGCATGCCCTTGCAATCCTGGCCCATCCGTGCAATTTTCCTACCTAAAACAGCCCAGGGAGCCACTATTGTCCCACTGGGAAAGCTTACATGCAGTTGCGCTGGGTCCATAAGCACCAGGTAATATGATTTACGAATGCACTGGGAGCTCTGTATATTTGTTCTAGTTTATATTCCAACCTCCCCACAAGTGGGCTCAGGGTGGATCACAACTACAGTATACAAAGTCATTAAAACAATAATAGCAATTAAATAACTAAAACAATTAAAACAAATGTGCAATAATGTAAGACAGGAAGCACTATAAATAGGAGGTGCAATAATCTCAACTGACCGAAACAGCTAGGGCCGTAACCGCCAAAATATGGGGAAACATGAACTCCTGGAGAGTGGTTTGGTTAGACTCTCCTACACTTCAGTCACTCTCATACACTTTTAAGACACTACTCCAAACTACCACCATTTTCTAAGTGATTTAGTGACAGGGAGGCTAATAACAGATTTAATCTCACAATGAATCTCCATGCAATGCAAAATACTGGCTAGAAATGTGTTGTTTTCACACACACACACACACACACCCCAGCCTCTGAGACATCCACCTTCACACCCCCGCTGCTGTATCTCGCAGACGTTTTATAGGATCCCCAAGGCAGACATCCAGTCTCAAGGAAGATACAGCTGAAATTATCCATTTGTAGTGCAATATAAGATCTACTAGACTGGGGAGAGTGCATAATTTTGTAGAAAAGTCCCTGAAGAAATCCTTCCAGCCAATGCAAGTGTCATACTTTTATTACAGTCCCAGTTGGGCAGGAGCAATGTTAAGAGCTTTTTCACCTGCGAGGTTTAAAGCAGTTATTTCTTCACCTGGGAAGTAGAAGGACAGGGGACTCTCTTAGCCAGAAGGCTCATTTGCATTACAAATACCTCACTGCAGCTCTTTTCCATATCAATGGTGAAAGCCATCAAACTTAAAAGACTCAAAGGCCACCTAAACAACACAGGAGAATGCCATTCCATTGAAAACAAGAACGCTTGCTTAAAAGTAAAACAAGTGTAAAAGAGGTTTACAAGAGGCGTTTGTCCAAAGCAAAAAGCAAAAATACAAGATCCATAATGAAGATCTCATGAGGACCGACACAAAACAGTGCAAAGCTTCTGAGTCTTCCAGAACTCGTCATCAGGCAGGACAGGGGTCATTTCGTAGAAAAAGAGCTAGGGGAACTCATTAGCATAACTCATTAGCATATGCCACACCCCCGATAAGGCCACACCCCCTGACATCACTGGAAGTGTGTCATAAGGCCACACACCCCGCCCCCAACGGTCCCGGCCGCCGCCGGCGGCCTTACAGCTCCACTGCCGAGCCCCATGAGGGGCCCGGTGGTGGACCTGCAATGCCGGCGGGAGTGCAAGGAAGCCCCGCGAAGGCCCTCCCTGGCCCCAGGCAGGCAGGGGTGGGGAGAGGCGGGGAGGAACCAACTTACCCTCCCTCTTCTCCTGCCTCCTCCTGGCTGAATGAGGGCCGGAAGCGGGGCGGCCGGAAGCAGGGGGCGGGGCTTCATCATGTGCCCCGCCCCCGTACCTCACCCGGGGGGACTGCGATCCCCCCCGAAATGACCTCTGAGGCAGGATGTTAAAAATACAAAGAAAGGGAAAGGAGAAGGTGATTCAGGGCGTAAAGCCTCATGGATGCCACCTGTGTGGCTTGCCAGGCAGGTCTGAGTAGACACAGCAGCACTGAGCAGAGCTGCTTCAACCTTCTAGCAAAGGAAATGCTAGTGAAAAATAGAAAAAACAGCTGATCTAGTGACTCTCTAATACCAAACAGAATATAAAGGTCCCTCAAAAGACTGAGGGAAAAACATGGCAGACATTAATCTTTAACAATGGTGTGTAAACAGCCATGTAGTTAAGAGGAGGCAGCAATGAATGAGCCCTTGGTGGCCACCACAAATCACTGACCCAGGGTATCCTCTCTCAGCAACTCAAGGAGGCGGTTATCCATCCACTACCTTTTTAAAAAATCACTACAGAAAAATGATGTGGCCAGTTACAGTCCTGTCTCTGATCTACCCTTTCTGGGCAAGGGAATTGAAAGAGCAGGTGGCAGACCAACTCCAGGTCTTTTTGACTAATTCATCTGCTCTGGATCCTTTCCAGTCTGGTTGCAGGCCAGGCTACGGGACAGAGATGGAGCCAGTAGCCTTAGCTGATGACTATCATCTGAATATAGATAAAGACCATGGGTCTTTGTTGCTCCCACTAGATTTGTCCGTAGCCTTCATACAGTAGATCATGCCATCTGAGACGTTTGGAGACAGAAGTAGGCATCAGGGGATGTGCTTTGAAATTATTTGAATCATTCCTTACAGAACAGTCTCGAAGAGTCACTATGGGAGACCACTTGTCACCAGTGTGGGACTTGTGCTGTGGGGTTCCACAGGGCAGAGTCCTGCCCCTCCCCTTTACTGTCCAACCTCTATTTAAAGACCTTAGGAGAAATTATTTGTAGCTTTGGAACTGGGTGTCGCCTATCAAGGACATTCAGCTCTCTTTCTCTCCAGATCTTGGAGGTCTTGAACCACTGCCTACGAGCTGTGGTTAAAAGGCTAAGAGAGGGGAAAACCTGAAACGGAATCTTGATAAGATGCAAGTAAAGTTCATTGGGAAGGCTGGAGCCTTGAAGGACATTGTACTTCCCACTCTGATGAGGTTCAGCTACTCCTTGCTGACTCGGTTGAGAGCCTCGGCATTACACTGGATCCAGCATTACTGCTGGAGAAGCAAGTAAATGGAGCTGCAAAAAAAAAAAAAAGCTTTCTTTCCTTGATTCAGCTAGCCACCTGGAGCCATGCCAGGGTAACACTGAGATTTGACTAACATATAGCACTCCACGTGGGTCTGTCCTTGAAGTCATCCCAGCGAATCCATTTAGTACAGAACACTGCAGCCTGGCTGTCGTCATGAGCTAGACAGGGCCTGCACATGACACCCATTCTGCAGTCACTCCATTGGCTGTTCATCAGCTACTCGGTTCAATTCGAGGTACTGCCTATCATCTGCAAAGCCCTGCATGGCCCTTGGACCCTCTGTCCTCCTGCATTCCCACAATGACAGCCCAACTCATCTGTTCAGACCCTTCTGCAGGGGCCATCCTGCAAATGGGCAAGATCAACCACCACCTGTACCCCGTGCTTTCTCTGTCGTGGCCCCCACCTTGTGGAACGGCCAGCCTGAGGAGGTCATGAGGGCTCCCACGTTCCTGTCATTCCACAAATGATGTAAAACGGAGTTTGCTCAGAAGAGCTTGTCTATAAAGATAATAAGGCTATACTCCATAAAATGCCTTCCTGAACTATTATGGCCCCGGTCACATAGGCAGGATATCGCGGGGGGGAGGCGTGGCTAATTGCCCCAGAGGAAACGAACGTGCGGCCGACCGAGCACATGTCCCCATTGAGGTCCTGTGGTTCGGGGGAAATGCCGATCAGACGGGTAGCCTGCAGCGCGGCACAGAAGCCACGCCGCGTGATCGCACTAGCAATCGCTCTTTGTGCGCATGCGCTGTTGGGCGCTGTTGCACAACCTGTGGAGATGAACAGCGGCGGGCGCCAGATGACACGTAAGTCCACCGGGAACGCGATCAGACGCCCGCCCTTGGCCCGCGATTTTAGGAGTTTTTAACTCCGCACCTTCGGCGGGGAGCCACGGGTTCGCCACGGGAGCACTGCGCTTCCCAGATGTTGGGGTGAGATCGCGCCTGGAAAATCCGCGGGACTCCCGTGCCTCTCCCGCGGCAACTTTGCCATGTGACTGGGGCCAAAGTTAAAGGGAAAGGGAACATGGACTATGTATAGGACACATTATCCGTTTGCTGCACATATTACTGACAGGGAAAATCTTGAGGGTCCCATGAAAGTCCCTCATCACCTTGCCACCACATTACACTGTTGTTTCATTGTTTTCTACTGATGCAATACCATTTTTTTTCATTATATCTACTACACTGTGCCGTGTCTACTACCGTGTCCTATACATATACAGATCTCTGCAGTCCTAGTACATTGCTCATTCGAAGTCTCTACCTATTGATTGTGTCAATCTGCAGTGTGCTTAGCAGATATCTCTTCATACAGACTGTTACGGATTTACCCTGCGTGATCTGCTTTGAGCATTAGCGAGAAAGGCTGACTATAAATACTGTAAATCAAATAAACTTCTGCCAACTCCTCCCTCTCTGTGCAGACTCCCACTTTGCCCCCTGTGCTGTTGGAGAAGGCCTGCTGACCCCACCCAAGAAACGAAATTTCAGCAGGGGGCTCAGTGAAGTCCAGCAAGAAAAGTCCTATTTTGCAGAGTCCAGAGTCTGTATATATTTAGGAGCAGGTTTTAAGACTCTACACTAGAATTGATACTGTTTCCATAGCGCATTAAGTATGGTAACAAACGAATGGGTTTTTTTATTGGCTTGTTTGGCTTCTTCAGAGAATTTAGGAAGGATTTCAGGTTACTTGTGCATGTTGTTGACTAGAGATGACAGAGGTGTCTTTTCAGCAAGATTTTTATTTACTTCATGTATTATTTTATTTACTTCACTTATACCGTCCCCCCCGCCGCCTAATAGTGTCTGTAAAACATAAAGACTT